TCAACGTCTACTCGTTCCTCGCGCTCCTTCCACGGCGCCGGCTGGCTGACGCCCACAAAGTCCTTGTACTCGCCGCTACAGAAGTCCGGCCCCTAATGTAAGGTCGGAGAACTCTGTCGTCCAGTCGGCACCATGGAAGGAAGCGGAGCCACATTACTGTTTTCCTTTGAATCTGGTCCGGACCAACCCTATTGCGCGCACCCCTGGAATGCCCTTCCCCGAACCCAAAGTGTCGGCCGCGCCGCGCTCTTCCAGGGCAACGAGACCGCTGCTGGTTCTCCCAAGAAGCCGCAGGAATCTTTTGACTTATTTTCCTCTGCCGCGCGTTTTCCCGAAGCTGATACGGCGACAGGCTAGAGTATAAGGTTATCCGAGAAGCACACTCAATTACATTTGAGTTTGGTCACATTAACTTCATGCGAGCAGGGGGAAATCACTTAGATTCGTAGCGTACGGACTGTTTCGCGTTATACTCTCCTGCCATTTCGGTTTTTCACGGTTATTTCGGGGTATTTTGCAGTATTTCGGGTCTATTTCGAACTTTTTCGGGGGAAGGCGAACGAACTATTTCGTAAGTGATGTCCCCCTTGACTTGATGTCACAGGCGTCACATGACGCACCCCTCTTTTGCCAGGGCGTGTGTCACACTATAACGAATAATACGGCCAAGCACAGTATTCCAACCAATGTGTCACGAGTTTCTGTCGTTTCAATATAACTTCACAGTGTTTGAATATAACAATGAGAATACTCGTCTTCTGCCAATAGCTTGTTTTTCGTACAATTTTAACTTATCGTTAGTTTCAGAACTGAAACAGAAACATTTTAAACATTTTTTAAAACATAAAAAAAAAACTTCCTCATTTGATTCATTTGGATTCAAATTGTGTTTTTTTTCCTCGTTGAACATTTCCCACATTCTTCTATATTCGAATTTTTGTTCATTGACATTCCAAAAGCCTAAACGCGACGTAGTCAAACGCCTTTTCACACCTCTGACGCCTCCAGCCCGTCACGCCTGTCACCAAGACCGTCACCGAGACCGTCACCGGCGACGAGTGACGCTGCGCGGACCGCAATCGGGGTGCACTGGCCGCCGGATACCGCCGAATTCCGGTCGTCCGGCGATCCGATTGAGTCTCGAGTCTCCAGACTGGAGAGCTTTACGGCCGCGCGCCCCGGGCCGCAGAGCCGGCGCTCTAGCGCTAATGTGAAAAAAAATGTTTGCAGGTTTTACGGGGAATATACAGATAATCAATTCTCGTTTGTACGAAATTGGTACGATATTCCCGCATCAATCTATATTGTCTAAAAGATTAAATTGTAAAATTAGAAAATTCTTATCAAACTTTATATGTATTACGACTTTCGGCGAACAGTCGCAGCAGCCGTAGTAAATTGGCGAAATCGATTACTGTTTGTAAATCGTCAATTAAGAAAAAAGTTGTTAATTAACAGAGTTGTTTTCCATAGTGGACAGTGGTGGAGATCCGCACTGCCCCCGGTCATTTCTTCTCTGTAGAGTATGGGGCTGATTCTAGGAAAGAGCTGAATGCTCGGCTTTGTCCAGCTTTTCGAGGGCGGATCTCTAACCTAACCTAGCCGCTGGCATCGCCGAGACTAAAATGCAAGGGTCAACGCACATTAGGTGAGGTGTGAGGGCAGCACAGGTGACATCGCATCGTGCTGTGTTTCAGAAGTGCATTAGCCCTCTGGACAGCGAGGTACGGCGAAACTTCCTCGTCGTCGTCGTCTCTCTCTCTCTCTCTCTCTCTCTCTCTCTCTCTCTCTCTCTCATGTCGTACGAGTGCTCGGCGCGGCGCTCATGCACGTCATCGGCCGGTACCTGCCCCGCGTCTGACTCGCTAATGCTCCAGATGAGGCCGGCCCGCGGATGGGATGATCGATAACTGTTATCAACCAGTCTCTCTGACTGAACGAGGTGTATACACAAAACAGAGCAGCGTGGTTTGCAATGCTGTGAGCTTCGCGCACTCCGAAAAACCCCAGACCAAAATTCACCTCATGAGCCCGATGCGTTGTTGGCGATCTCGTGGATTGACCCCCC